TTATGTATTACAGTTTGCATGTGTGCATAAGCAGCCTGTGGATGCAGGCCTGTATATTTATTCATGCTTCAGTGTGTATACATATATACAGTATGTATCTCTGTCTATGTATACACATTCATGGTTTTATGTGCCTGTGATGTATAACTGCATATGTGTGTGCCTCTCCTCTCTGCACTGTGAACAGCAGGCCAGCTGACACCTCAGCAAGGATGGATTAACATATCAAACTATTGGCACAATTCAGTGTCTCCTGACAGCTAGCTCTCTCTCCTATGGGGTTAAATATAGCAAAGACATCATCCTTCGGACCAAATAAAAAAAGATGAGCATGGAAGAAAGAGACACATGCAGTATTTCAGGATCTCATTGAGGGCTCTTATATACCAGTGGATTGCACTCTGAAATTAAACACCAGTGAAACATTTTTCTGTCTTCTTCAAATAATATTAACCATTTCTGTCTAGGCTTTTTAAAGCTGTACTAATCAATATAGTGTAATGAAGGTCCCCTTTGGCTTTACAGTGCACTATAACCTCTTTAATACTTTTGTTTAGATTTTTCTGCCTGCAACTTCACTGCCTTAGTTTTGTTTCAATGGCAGCAATTTTCTGTGGAAAAGCTCTGTAAAAACAACACTGTACACCACCAGGCTAGCACCAATTGAAAAACAACACTGTACACCACCAGGCTAAATGTCATAAATGTGGACAACATTTATGACTAGCTGGTCAACACAGAGGAGCATTTAACTGTCAAACAGCCAAATATTTTCAGGCTTACTGACCAATCTTCATTATAAACACAGACTATAAATTGTTTATATCCATCCATCCATTATCAATACTGCTTATTCCTGAATAGGGTGGTGGGGGGTTGGAGCCAATCCCAGCTGACATTGGGCGAGAGGCAGAGTACACCCTGGACAGTCTATCACAGGGCTGACTTGTAGACAAAAAACACACACACTCACAGTTACTCCTACGGGCAATTTAGAGTCGCCAATCAACCTGAGGTAAGTCTTTGGACTGTAGAAGGAAGCCAGAGTACCCGGAGAGAGCCCACGCACAGGGAGACCATGCAAACTCCGCACGGAAAGGCATTGGGTCAGCCAAGGCTCAAACCTTCTGGCTGTGAGGTGACAGTGCTAACCACTTCGTCACCATGCCACCTTTGCTTACATCCATAATTTCAAAGAGAATTGAGCACTCTCTACTTGATTCAATTAACACAGGCCAGACTGGATTTACAAAGGATAGATAAACACAGAATATCATTAGACAAACCCTTTCTACCTTAGAACAAATACACAAATGTTCAGCTTTGGTTAGCCTTGACAGAAAAAGAATTAAAGTAGAGTTAGCTGGCCTTTTCTCTATAAGAGTTTAGAGTGGTTGGGTTTTAGCAACCAATGAATTAGGTGTATATGTAACATATGGGTTACATATACAAGCTTTGCAGGCACCCAACTCCTAGAATTAAAATCAGTGGCCAAGAGGCACTGGCCAGGACTGTTGCCTCAGCCCCTCACCCTTGGCAATGCTCATCAAGCCCTTGGCTCTGGCTCTCAAACAATGCAAGGAACTGAAAGAAATTAATACAGCAAAAGAGGAACACATAATATGACTTCAGAGGATATTGTTGTCAATCATTAATATCCAAACTTAACATCCCCTAAACTCATAACAATATTATTGACTTCAAACAGATCGGCTATAAATTGAACATTACAAAGACCTAGGTACCTTCCATAAATTAAATATCAAAGAAGGAACTCAAGCAGGAATATAAATGAAAGTGGGATGCAAAATCTAAAAAAAAAACCCCACTGGTAGTAATCACCCAGGTTTTAGACAATATGTACACAATAAATTCCAATACAATAAACAATAGAATTCACAAAGCTATAACAAAATCATCAACATGAGTTTTGGAATAAAGCTCAAGAAGTGAGGTGATAAAGATGAATGTGCTGCCAAGGTTATTATACCTCTTTTTATCACTACTGGTTCAAATCCCAGAATCTCACTTTACAGCATGGGATAAATATCCAGGTTCATCTGGGCTGGAGGAAGGCCAAGGGTGAAATTCAAAACACTCAGAATAAATGAAGACAAATTTCCAAATCTCAGAGAATACTATTACACTGCTCAAATGAGATATATCAGCCAAAGGTACTCCCCAGAGTATCTATCTAGATGGAAAGACATTGACTGAATTAAATTTGGGTTAGTCACAGCCTGAAACCTGGCTAGGTGGAAAATAATACATATAGCTCATAAAAGAGGAAATGCAATTATAAAAGAAACATTGAAAATATGGTATAAGATTATTATGTAAGGAGATGGTAAACTCTTGATATGGCCCTCTCAGACCCAATGTTGACACCTGGAGACAGATAACACATCTGTAACATGGAGAAAAAGAGGACTAACAACTGTATGTATGTATACTCACTATGAGAAAAGATTCACACCCTTTAAAAAGCTTTAAAATTTTCAAACTAGAAACAAAGGATTAAAAAGAAAAAAGGTTATCAGAAGAAGGGAATGAAATGATTGAAGTCCTGACAGGTGCATATAGACAAATCACATCTAAGATTGCTTCAGAGCTACACAGAGGTTTATAAAGACATAATGGAAGGAACTCACTATATATAAAATTACAAGAAATTACAATGGCAATCAAATACTAAACGCTAACTCCAAATATGTAGGGAATTCAGGTGGAAAATTTGAATTTCATTTCTTTACTACACCCCACCTAAAAAGTAAAGTATGTAATGTTAGAGATTGTGTGGGCATATGAATGCTAACCACATATAAGAAGATATAGTCAAGCAAGGGTGGAATATACTCCTTTCAACATCATATCACTTTGTGAATCACATGTCCTTGGTGAATTCACATATTCAAAAAGTTACTTAGCCAAAATTGGGAGAATGCAGTTGTTTGGAATATCCCCGCTGGACTTTGGTTGCATTGTATCTATCCTCCTCTAAGATATTCTTCTTTGCTGTTTCAGAAAAGAAAACCACCTGGAGAAACAGTTTTATCATTCTGATTTAACCCTTGTGTTCTGTTAAGGATCATAAACACCATCGTTTGAATCAAAACATTGGCCTTACTGTCTGTGGATGTGTCCTGTGAGTCCAGGATGCCTGATTCCTGGAGCGAGCGGATGCAGGAGTCCACCAGCTCTAAGCCTGTTGTCAGCTCTTCTTCTATGTCCTTCTGTCCATCTACATGTGCACAAACAAAACAGGAAACAAATGTCAATGGAAAAATACTGTAGATATTGCTTCTTCTGCCACCTCCAGACTCTTAAAACTCTTATGCTCTACTCAGGGCTGGATTTACCCACCAGGGCACCCATCCATCCATCCATCCATCATCTATACCACTTATTCCTGAATAAGGTCACTGGAGCCAATTCTAGCTGACATTGGGTGAGAGGCAGGGTACACCCTGGACCGGTCGCCGTCTATCACAGGGCTGACATGTAGACAAACAACCACATACACTCACACTCACTCCAAGGTTGGTTAAGGCTCAAACCCAGCCAGCCACGCCACCATGACCAGGACACCCCAAAACAAACAAAAATAATAATAATTACCCTTGCTCTCCCACAGTTCTCTTGCTCCCTATATCTATTGTGAGTGTACCCATTCAACTCCAAGTACCCATCATGTAGAGCACACACCAGATCATACAGGTTTACAGAGGAAGAGGAAAACAAGAAAAAACTGTCAGATGTTGAAAGGGTTGAGTTAATATTTTTATAAAGAGCCCTCAAAAATAGATAAATTGTTTGGAGCCCTTGAAGGTACCATGTCAGTTTCACCCACACTGATTATCACATACAGACATGCTGTTTTGCCTACATTTGTTAATCTTTCAGACCAAAAGAAACCAGACATTAAGGTTGTAAGGTTAAAATTCATTCTCATCCAGCTAATGATGAGTAGCTAATGTAGTGGCCTTACTTTTGTCTTATCACAGAGTAATGCGACAGTAAACCTCAGTTCAAGGGTGAAAAACTAACTGATAGTCCAGCAACGAATCTTGTGCGATTGAGGACTGTGGCTTGTTGCAGTGTACATAGACATCAGCTGGTTATTTGTCAGAGAGAGGCTGATAATGTGTCCAGTGTCTTCAAGTTAGAGAGAGTTGCCAAGGGGGCTGAAACCTTACAAATCAGTTTTAGGACCAACATTAATCTCTTTATCGAGAGTGGGAGAGAAATGGTAATAGTAGAGGCCTTACTGAGTGGATTTAGGAGACTGATTTTATTGACTTCAAATGACGCAATTGCAGACTGATGTTGTTTATGCTGCTGGTGAAACATTTCCAGTGCATTTTGCAGCGTTACGGTGGATTTCCTCGCACCCTCACACACACAAACTTATTTTTAAACCTGTTTCATCCAGAGGTGATGGGTTTTTAATGATTTGTGAGTGATGATGAGATCAAAAGGTCTGACTGAAGTGAGGGAAGATTTTCCTTTTTTTTCTGACAGGGTAACTTTGGTCTTTCTGAGGCCAAGCAGTTGAGCTCAAGCATAGTCAGTGGATGAAAACCAAAGCAGACACTGATAGGCTCCGGTATAAAAATGTTTTGTCCACAAACCTCTGGGCTTCCTTGTGTTTGGTCACCACTTTGTTGACAGAGGTTGCCAACGCTGCACACACATAATCAATCTACTCAACATGACTGACAAAGGAGGAGAGAGTGACCTGTGTGGGTTAGGTTTGTTTAGCTAAAATGCTGCCAAAGATGTTTTCAAGCCCAGAGAGATGGCTTCATTTGACTTTCTAATCCTCACACTCATTGATTCTTGTTGTCCTTAATGGAAAACACTTCTCATCTGCCACCACAAACAGACTAAACACCATGCGGAGAATACTTTGCTAGTGCTGTTTGACCTTTACTGAAATGGAGTGAGGGTGGGTCAGGGAATTTGAGAGACAGGAGTTTTTATTTTGTTAGCACAAGATTTTTCTATTTGGGTTTTGTTGGAGAGAAGACAATGTTTGTTTGAGCATTTCAACCATAGTTCTTGTACAGGATTGCATCAACACATTGAGAATGCTTACAGTGGCTATCAATGCAATAAGCACAGTCAGCAATTCATAGTGCTGGAAAGCAAACAATAGCAGTCCAAACAAAATGTATGAGAGCCCCTGAGAAGAGGTATTACCTTGGTTGTTCCAACGAAATTTCTCATCTCCTGAACTGCAAGAGACAAGCAACAGAAACACAGGGTTAGAAATCATGTTGCATAAATGCATTATACTGTACACTAATTGGTTTTAATTCTTGTTTGCTTGTACCCTAACAGCCCAATTTTACATTGTAACAGCATTAGCCTCACATGCCATATTTCCTCTCATAGTGGGTATTGAGACTCTACAGCTAGCGCTAATTGTGCTAACATTTCCTCTGTTCTAGAGAATCTGCAAAACAAGAAATCACATATAGCCATCTGGGGTAGCCATTACAGATGTCTGCTGACTGGTGAACAACTGATCACCTGGTCATCAGGTCAGCTGGAAATTAACCCAGGTGGCTCCCCAGACAGCAGCCCATATCTTGTATTTGTTTTCCTTCTGACTCGGAGATAAGCGTGAAAAAATGGTTTGACCTAAATTATGTTTATTCTCAGCACTTTGTGTCTTTTTCTCCTCAAAATCCACTTTTTAGTATTGAAATAAAACATTAATACCACATTAAACACTGATTTATAGAATTTATTTATGGTGTATTATTGCATAAGGTTTTGAAAAGAACAGTGGGATGCTGCTAAAAAAGAAAAAACATCTGTGTAAATTGGGATGAAGACAGTTTTGGAAGGAGTAATAAAAATATGATAGCATGCCAAAACAATATCGACGCACACGTGTGCGATACTAAATAGTGGCCATAAATGATAAACAGTAGACATCTCCTTTAATTCAAACTTGTGACAATAAGAGACCAATCAATTCTTTTCAGTTATTTAACATAGACTTTTTTGTTTTGTTTTGTTTTGTTTTTGAGGAAATTAGATTCTGTAATTAAACTCCAAGGGATGTCATATACATAGACAAAAACACAGATTAAGGATGATTTTAGCTGCAAGCTAGAGGATACATCCTCATTTGCAATTAACCTGTGCTTTGGCTGGAAGGGTGCCACTTACTTTTCCTTGTCTTCCAGCTGTTGGCTGTGAACAGTTTTATTTCACTGTGTAGATATGAATAATGTGATATTGACTAGAGCCAGTACTCCATTCTCTTGTTCCCTTCCTTACAGCTTTAACCTAAATGAAGTCTTCATGTCAGTTGCCTACTGGTGATTACAGCTCTGCCATCACCCACCTTAGCATTTGGCTTAACAGTGTATTGAAGCACAAGTGGAGCAAGATGATTTTAATACACATGCAAAAGATCACAATCAATTATATTTGCATAAAATCAGGAGTGAGGTGTACAAATCGGTTAACAAAAAACATAATAACTGTCCTTACTAATAAAACAGCAATAAAAAGTAAGTTGCCAGATTTTTAAAAAGAACTCAGTAACTTTCTCTCTGCAGCTATTACTTGTTGCCTGGCCATGTACTGTATTTACGGACATACCTAAATCAGACATCTGCATTATGTTGGCAGCTAATAAGCCAATTAATGTGCCCATAAACACTTACATTTGACTGAGCCCTTATCTGTTGTGTTTTTTCAGTGACAATTTTTTTGTTGTTGTCAGTCTTTTTCAGTGACTCTTCAGTCTTTTTTATGCTGCCATTTTTTTCAATCAGTTGTGAAAACATGAGACTATTAGTAGCCTGCATACTATTTATGAACCTAGAACCAGCAGATTAGCAGCTTATCTTAAACAAGAAGCAGAAGAGAACAATTAGCCTAGCTCTGTCTAAAGTTATAAAAAAAATTCCAATCACCTGTACCTCCAAAGTTCACTAATTAACATGCTCCATCTTGCTTGTTTAACTCATACTCAAAGAGAAATGTAAACTGCATAAGCTATGGTTTGTGTATTAACTAAAATATCAAATTATTTCATAATGACCTTTGCTGAAAAAAAAACTGCAAATAATTATGATATCATAATCAGTGTCTTCAAATATATAGGAAGCAATTCTGTCCTGTCAGTATACAGTAGTTGACTCAATCAAACAAATGGAATTTTTCATATGAAATCCTCATATGTAAGTTAAACCCTCTGTAGCTAAACCTAGAAATGAATGCAATTCATTCCATGCTGACACAGAACAGATGCTATTAAATCATCCCATTGATTACCTCCATTCTGTGTGCATGAAAGTGTGTGCGTGCAGTGTGTGATGGATTGCAAACGCGAGCCAAGCGTTACATGTTAATGGGACCCTCTGTCAGTATAGCAGACTCCTCATTCATCAGGCGCTATTATACCAAACAATACACCCCCACACATGGCACGAACATGCACACACACAGACACCAACTGTACACAGCACACATTTGCTACATGAAAGACACAAATGTATCACACAAAGCAGAGGAGACGAGAAATGCTGAACCCAAGTGTCTTGGAGGATGGAGTGTTCTTATATCAGACAAACTCCTTGGATGGAGCAGGATGATGAGGATTATTATTACTAGTCTGGGCACAGACAGTCAGTACTGATGGCACAAACTGAGTCCATGTTTTCACAAAGGGCAGGACGCACAAGCCCTTCCATTCTTTTTTCTGTATTTGCTGGTGTGAAATGTCGCCTGTCTACTCTTGAAAATGTCTGAGTAGATGTGAATGTGTGTTATTTACCAATGGGCAGGATGTGATGAAGGTAAAACTAAATGCAAGCTGAGTGCTCAGATAGAAACTTTCCTGCAAACTGTGAGGAAAGAGGCCAAGTGGTGTTATCTTCTAGTGGTTACAATGACAGGGGCTCGTACTGCAATATACTGTCCAGAGGGTTTCAGATTGCTGTCTAAGCTGGGAGGAAATAGGGGTTTGTTCACATTATTGAGAGGATCAACACATCGTAGAGGAGACTAGACAGGACCAGAGAAGACTAGAGAAAAGCAATAGAGAAGACAAAAGAATTCAGGATGTATGGCAGAACTGGGAAGAATAGGCTAAACCAATCTACAGTAGGACTGAACAATTCTGAATCAAATACAAATGAACTGGGTTATAAATCAGAGTCTGCGTGTGATCACAAAGTGAAAGAGCCCAGACTTCCTGTGCTCTGTCTGCCATATACAGTAAGCTCATCTTTTTCATATAAGAGTAGATTAGTAAGGAATATCTGGATCAAATCTTAGTGTAATCCATACAAATGTTTGAATACATTTCAGTCAAAACTACAAATGTCAGCCTCATGCTGGAGCTAGGATCAGGGGATCGCCAGAGTCACTAGGCTTTGTCCTTTGGGTACAGTAAATATCTCTATAAAATTTTATAGCAATTCAACAGTGGCGGGCATAGCGCCCTAAAGCTATGACTCTGCGTGGCCAAATTTCCCATACATTTGCCATTTCCAGCTGTTCAAACATGAGAATATGTTTCTTTGGGATTTTGGGCTATTAGGTTAAACAAAACAAGGTCTTCATAGTTGTCACTCTGGGCACTTGGCTGATTCTCAGGTTTTGGGGATCGACCCGCCATCCTAACCACCTGAGCTAGAGCCTTCCTCTTCCCCTCCACTCTTTCTCCCCTCCTCTCTTCCCACACATGCAGTAAATAGACTGCCACTGTGACTGCACCCCATTTGTAAACACACATGTTGAGATGTGTTCCAAGCTTTCATTCAGTGGCATGCCATGAGTCTGAAACAGTACCCCAATGGCAATCCTAAGTGGAAGAAGGCAAGAAGCCAATGCAGTAGAAAAACACTACAAACAAGGGTAGAAGTAGCAACATGTTGGTCCAGTTAGCAGTTCCTGTCAGGCAAGCAGAAACAACAAGCTAAATTACTGCATCCATGGACATCAGAAGCAGACTACAGACTAATGAGGAAACTACACACATTTACATATAAATTGTATTTTTCCTATTTCATTGTGTTTCCACTGATAACAACAATAATAATGATAATAATTAGGATAATCACCTTTACTTGGCCAAATATATTACACACGAGGAATTTGTTTCCAGTACAGAACCGAGGCAGCCATCTGCAGTGCTAACTCACACCAATGGCTCTAACTATCGGGGGCAACTTCGGGGTTCGATGTCTTTCCCAAGGACACTACTACATGTGGACTGCAGGCACCGAGATTTGAACCTCCAACCCTCCAGTTGGGAGACGACTGCTCTACCCACTAATCAAAAGTTTCATTTTTAAATGCTGTAATCATCACAAAGATGCCTTATTCATCTACAAAGTAACAAACTTGGACAAAACTCAAACTTTCTGGGTGGATAGAAAACTCCAAAAGTTACTGAGAAAATAAACAGTTTAAATAGCCCAGGAGAGGGAGGCCACAGTGGATCAGAGAGAAAGGAGTTGAATTAATGATTTTCTAAGCACTGAAAAACCTGTACATGTGTAAAGATAGCTGATCTAACTATACAGCACAATAAACTGAGGTTTTCATTGTTATAGTACACACAGTTGTCATATTTAGTTACTTGACTTACTCTATATCACTGTGTGGATGGGAACACATGCATGCACACAATAATGCCACTGCTGCAAATATTATGAGACTTTGAATTTAAACAACAAAACTGAAAACATCCTGTAATATAATAAACCTATCTGGACACAAAAATATATTTCAGGCAAATTAGACTTTTACCAAAACGTTTACCAACCTGAGGTTGACTGCTCCATGTAACAAATGACTTGACGGCATTGTAGCTTATAAACTATGGCTCTGTATGTGGAAACGTACAGAATGTCATTTGTTGTTAGACCCTGATTGTTCCTGCCTATCTTGCTTTCTGTAATTAAGGACAGCAGCATGTAAATATTATTGGGATGTATATGAAACGTTGCTGAATATTGTTTGAATGATGATTGAAAAAAACTCATAGGAACGTCAGATTGTCCACTCACAGAGACTGTAGTAGATTAGTGTCTGAAGGAAAAGCATAATGGAAACAGTTCTTAGTTTAATTTGTTATTCAGAGATGAAATAACTGAAGGCTTAGGTCCAGGTCTAAGCTCAAGAGTGAGCGGGCCTTCATTAATAGTGGACCAGAACTGTGGAAGATCCGTCCATTGGAGATTAGGTCTGCCATGATTAACCA